TGAAGCCAGAGCCCTCCTCACTACCTGAAGTCACTGTCACCACGAGGAAACAGCTCTCAGAAACACCCTTCTCTCCTTTCCCCCACCTTTTCCAGCTGCAGCCAGAGATGATGATTGTGGGACTTCAGGGAATGGAGGGGAAGGAGGAAGGAAACTGCAAAGGACAATTCCCAGGCTTCAGCAGGGTTGGCTCTGAACACAACACTAAAGAAGAGGGCTCACCATCAGCAGCTTTGGCCATCCCAAATTAAAGCAGCTCTGATCGACCTCACCAGGGTGAGCTCTGCTTCTGCAGCACAGGGTGGGGGCAAAGGGATCCAGGGCTGAAGGGAGAAAACTTATCCAAGAAAGCAAAACCTTCACCTGTCAGGGTTCACAAAGCCAGGGCAGGATGAGGAAATATCAGCAGACAGCCCCAACTCTGAGGGTTTCCAGGGTGAGGAGTGCTCTCAGCACTCCCAGCACCTGCCTCTATAGCTCCCTTTGGAAACTGTCCAGGATGCAATTTATTTCCTGCTGGGAATGGGAGGCCATGTGRAAATCGATGGGATTGTGAAAAGAAAGCTCAGAATCCCTTTCCTGCCTCCAGGTAAACCTRCACATACAGGAAAGGTGAAGCACATGCATTATAAATGAGAGAACACCGGAGAACAAACACCCTGTGAGGAAGAAGACAACAAATCCCATTTCTGACCTTTGTTTTCAGTGTTCCTCATTTATCTTCCATTATTAATCAGCTGGAGAGGAAGGAATGAATAAACAAACACAGAAGAGCTGTCAGGTTTTGGTGACCTGTGCTCCAGCCCCTCCAGTTGCACCCACACTGATGAACTAAATAATTTTGGATTATCCAAAGAGAGTTGGCACAACTTTCAGCAGATATTCCTGGGACACTTCTCTGGGAGCCTCCTCATGGTTTTTTGTTCAAAGACTGGACTGGCCCATGTTTAGGGCAACATTTGATTCTGAGTTTTGCAGAGTATCTCAAGTTTTTTCTCTCCAAAGTTATCAACTGTGATGGGAAATTTCTAATGGGAAATTTTACGGGGCAAACCCACATTTTGCTGTTTCCATAAGATCTGCTTGGATAAGTTTTCTTGAAGGCACAGGGGATCCTTCTGAAATCACACATTTTCTTACAAGGGACCTTCCCTTCCTATGTTACAGGAAAAAATGCCCTCTCCCCAAAATTCAGCTTCTTAAMAAGTATTCCTGACATCATCATCAGGGAGAGCTCATTCACCAAAAAACAGAATTGTATAATTCAAGTTGTTCTTTCTGCACTCTCCTGAATCTTCTGGATTTTGGCTGTGAGCCTTTATAATAATAATAAAAAAAAACATTGGGTTTAATGCTATTATTATATMATTTAATAATAATATAATTACCAATCTAATGAATCTCTGCTGATTCAAACTAGAAGGGATTTTGTATCTTTACTCAGCTGAGGGTTTTCCGTGTTCCAGAAATATCCAATGTGTGAACACACCTACAGGTAATGTGAKTGTGTCTGTACAAACATAAATCCTTTTATTTAACCAACCAAGTCTGTTCACACAGTTTTAAACCCACATGTTAAAAATCCTGTGTTTGGTTTGGAATCTGAACTTGCAGGCTGAGACCACAGGCATTAAACACAGCCACAGCACCTGACCAGCGAGAGGCAAAGAAAAAAAGGCCAAGCAGTTCTGTTTGCTGAAGACATAAAACCACCCCCAAGCCCTCTCTGGCTTGAAAATAAAGCAAATAAAACTGTTCCTTGCCTTGAAAATCACCAGCCATTGGCATTTGTGCCTGCAGCTGGACTCTCAGTCAGGTGGGAGCAGAGCCTGGAGACCTKCTGCTGCCCAGCAAAATAACAGAGATGCCAAGAGCTCTCTGAATTTAACTCACTATTGCCCCAAAAGACCCTGAGTATCATTTTCTGCCTTCAGACTCAGGTAATTGCTGGACGTAACTCAAATCAAACTCTGATCAAAAGTATTAATGGAGCCTCATAAAATTTTATTTACTTGCCAGTTCAGCGTGACTTCTTTTTTTTTTGGCTGTGGAAGTAAATTAGCAGTAATCTTTTCTTTATTGTCTTGAAAAATGGCCCTTGAAAAGGTTTTAAGCCAGGCTTGGTACATTCATTTACTGGTTTGCAAAGGTGGTTTAGTAGCAATCATCTGTGCCTGGGAACAGCTCAGCCCCACAGTTATGGGGTCTGAAATTGTCCCTGACACCCTGAAACCATGAATTTTCCATCTTCTCTCTCCAAGGCTGTGCTCCTGTGGAGGGACTCAAAAGTGTGTAAGAAAGRGGATGAATTTGAGTAGGTTTGGTTAAAATGGGGTGTCTGTYATGATGCCTAAAACAAGGCTCAMCTGAAACAGAGGCCAAAGTKAAGAGAATAAAAGCAGACAAMTTTAATCCAGSCCTACTGGTACATTAGGGCAGACAAAGCCTCCTCCTGAGGCTWCACCCAAAATGGACCCTGAGTCACGAGATCTTCACCTTTKATAAATTCTGGCTCATTAAYATATTGGGCCTCAATTCCCAATGATACCCTCAGGTGATGATGTCAACCACCCCAAACTTGCTCCCCCCAATTCTCTGTTGTTTCCATATTTTGGGGCTCTGAGGCAGCGAAGTGTCCTTGGATTCAGGCTCAGAGAGGAATTGTTTTGTCTGAAGATGGGAGAACAGGAGCTTAGTTCTGTACACTGGAGAAGTACAAGAATACAGACACATGAAAATATAGAAACTAAAAATCCTAAGGCATCAATTAATGCTCAAATTGGTGCTTTCTGATTTCAGACAAAGAAAACAAAGGGGAGAGGTTGTATCCAAAAGTGTTCCAGCCCTGGAAATGCTCAAATCACCCCTAGAAGTGTTCCAAAGGTGTATGGATATGTCACCTGGGGACACATTTTGGTGGTGGATGTGGCAGTGCTGGGGTAACAATTGAACTCAGTGATCTCAGAGTTTTTTTCCAACCTGAATGATTCCACAGGTGATGAGACAAGCTGGCAAGCACCTCATCTTAATTTCCATTATCCTGCTTAATTTCCATTRCTGGGAAGGGAGATCCCATCCATCAGGCCATGGGACACGGAGTCCCTGCACCTCCAGGATGGGCAAAACTTTGCCAAAACACCTGAGGCATCTCCTTGGCTTCTCCTTCACCTCTGACTGGCAGCTGCAGCAGAGAAACCATGGAGCAAAGAGGCTCTGGAGAAATCCTCCCCTCCCAGCCAAACCTGAGGCCAGACAGAGGAAAAGTCCCTGTGCTGCAGCTTTCCTGGGATATTTGGGAATTCACTCTCCTAGGCTGTCAATCTCGCACCTTTTAAGCGGCGCTGAACTCACTTTATAGGGGAATAAAGTGATTTCTCATTTCACTGATAACCTGGACTCTGACTGAAAATAAAAGCCCCAAATGGAAAATCCCGACACTAAAGCTTCAAGCCCAGTGTGCAAAGACTCAATCCGGCTAAATCAGTAAATTCCCTCACGGTAATTAAAGGCACTAATTGATTTGTGAAAACATCTTTGGGATGGGAGCTGAACTGGGGGGATTTGCAAGCCCCTCTCCTAATCCCCAGAGACACCAATCAGTCCAGCTTGACAGGGAAGCAGAGAGCTGTCGTGGATGAATGAGGGGAGACGAAGATTCCTTATTTTGTATCTTTTCAGTGCATTTAATGACCAATTTCTCCCTTCCCGAGGCTGTTTCTGCAGGCTTCTGAGAGTTTGGGTATCACTTTGATGCCTTCCACAACCAGGGCAAACGCTGCTCTCAGGCAGCTTCRTGTGAACCCTGTGAATTCACCAAAGCAGCATCAAGGGGGTGAAGAGAAAAAGGGATCCCTAACGAGGAGAAAGGCTCTTGGATAGGGCAGGGAGCAGAGCTCCTGTTGTGATTCATCTCAGGACAGAGCCCTGAAGCTTTCAGGCACCATGGCCAAACAGGCACTGCTTAGTCCTGAGGCATCAAATCCACGAAGTGAAAATGTGGGAAATGCAGGAATTTCAAGTCTAAGAAGGCTGCTGGAAATGTAGGAATTTCTAGTCCAAGAAGGCTGTGGGAAATGCAGGAATTGCAGTTTGAAAACTGATAGARACTGGAATGGTTCATGGCTCACATATTGCTAAAATCATCGAGGGCTTTTGTCCACTGTGGCAAAGTGCAAAGCAGCTGATCTGCCACCACCGAAGGGACCCCACTCCAAATACACCTAGAAATGGAATTTGGAGTGTGGAGGGAATTTGGGAGGAGATAAAGGGGAGGTTTTGTCCAATCCTCCCAGTCTAGGGGGAAGAATGTCATACTGGAAGAGACACTGGGATGCTGGTGGTGTCAAAAACTTGTGATCCACAACATTCCATCATCCAGGCGTCCCTGATTCACAACATTCCATCATCCAGTGCAAACTCCCTACCCCAGGGGAGGTTCCTGGGCATTTCCACCTGAACTTGAGAGACAGGGCTCTGTTCTGGGGATTTTTTTCACAATCTGATGAATCTAATCTGTGACCATCACTTCAGCCAAGAGACGTCGAAACTGCAGCAGTCAGGCCTCTTTGCAAAGTCTRCAGGTGGTGAGATCTTTCTGCTCTTATCCCTTTTTTCTCTTTCTTATATATTTTCTTAAATGATAATTTTAGGCTCTTACATTTTCATATTATGTATTCATATTACTAATATTTCATATTACATTTTCATATTTTCGGTATTTTCATATTAGATAGCACAACCAAAATGGCTACATACCTGTTTTACTCTGCAACCAAATTGTTCTATAATAAACCCATATATATATTTAAATATAAATACACAAACACTGGTCATTCAGTGTTGTTTCATCCTAATTCACACCAAGGGATCCCTTTGGCTCTGGGAAGTGTCTCTGCACAAATTCTTGGTGGACACAATGCTTGGAAAGCAGTTTTCTGCACCAAGGACCAAAGTTATCACAGCAGGAAAACTGTGAGAGGGGATTTCCACAGGATGCTCACCTGAAGATGCTCCACTCAGGCTCGATCCTCAGGATGGTGGGATCCTCCACATATTCATAGTGCAGCTCCTGGTGGATCTTGGCTTTGTCCACCCTCACAGACACCTTCACTTTCTCAAAGCCTTCATAGGAGGCCGTGGTGTTACAGACAATGTGCTTCGTGGATCTCCTGGGAGGAGGAGAAAACAAAAGTGAACCAGGTGCTGCCAGCAGCAAAATTATGCCAAAAAGACCCCAACTTTTTATTTTTGTGTCCTGTGACCTAAACCTATGCACTGAAGAGGTGAAACTGAGCGTGAGCCATTTCTGTTCCTGTAGCAGTGTCTGAGGAAGCGGCATTGCCTTTTCACTGGTTTAAATAAAACCACAAGAGCCCTCATCTCTCAGGTCTCAGAGTAAAACCTGAACCCCAAGGGCAGCCCAAACCAGGCCTYTCTCCAGAAACATTTCTCTGTGATTAAATATTTGATGGATGTTTCCTTCCTGCCTGCAGACATGTGCAGCAGMAGCAGCAGCTCATAAAAGGGGCGTTTGCACCTCAGCTTTGCAGTCTGGGACCATAAAGTTTACTTTGCATTAGGACTGAAAGCCTTGTTYAAGTGAAGTTTGCAGCGTGCCTGGGACCTCTGGAAGTGCTAATGCAGTGGGAAGCATTTTATGATTATATTTAAAGAGGATTCTGCATAAACCTTTCATTTTTGGCAGGGCTCAAAACCAGCTCCAGGTCTGCATTCCTTTCAAAATGAGTCAAAAATTCAAGTATGAAACATCCTCAGCCTCCCCTGACCTGTTATTTTTGATGCAGCTGCATGTTATACCCTTAAAATGGGGCTGTAAATCAGCTTCACTGACTGAACCCTCAGATACCCTCTAAATTCCCCCAAAAGACAATGCTCAATCCCTCTTAAAATCCTTCCAAAATCTCTCCAATGAGCATCTCTGAGCAGCTGTGGCTCCCTCTTGGCATCTCAACTCACAAGCTGTGACTTCACCCTGCTGGATTTGGGATGCTGGATCRTTCCAGAGTGATGACAGGCAGCTAAAAAGGATCCTCACAGCCAGCAGAGGGAAGGGCATCACCCAGGGTAGTGGCCCCAAGTCTCCTGTGAACGAGCTCTTCCTCTGCCAAGGACATATTTAGSAGAAATGTGCCAACTCCATCTTCAGCCCCCATCAATACTGGCAGCAAAATGGGCTGCCCTGGGTAGTTTGGAGCTGTGGGAGTCTCTGGGAATGGGATTCAGGCTCATTCTCACAGGGATCAGGGAACATCCAGCAGGTAACACTGACATTAAGCCTCTCTGAAGCGCCATTGAACAGGAGCCAACCCAGAGCTGAAATGCTGCAAATCATCCATTCCTTAGCGCTACAGGACTGTTCTGGGATAAAAGGGAGGTGGTTTAGTACTCAGAAYTGATGTTGTCAGATTTTCTTTGTCACCTCTACTAAAGCGGGGACATGAAAATGAATCTTTTAAACGACGCACTGCCGGAGCAAGTAGCARAGCGCAGGACCGTGGAGAATTGTGCTGAAATTTGACAAGAGGCCACGGGAAAAAGCACATCAAATACCAGTCAAAACAATGGAATAAATCCTATTCTCTCTCCCCAAAACATGCCCAGCAAGGCTGTGCGTGGTGCAGAATGCTCAAATCCCAACACTGCATAGCCAAAGAAGGCTCTTGAGGGATGGGTGACAGCACTGCAGAAGTCTCTCGACTTTAATTATTGGCATCTTTCAGGCATGAGCAGCAGGAAGGACTCGTCTGTACCTGTAGAAGAGGCAGGGTTGTCTCCCAAAGGTCACGATRACGTTGCTGCCAGCGTTGAGGTTGTTGCCCGTGATTGTCACCTGAGTGCCACCTGACACCGGTCCTCGCTTGGGCTTCAGGTCAGACAGGGTCAGAGTCTGTGGAGGCAAAGGGTGGGGTTGGACACACATCAGGGCAGCAGGGGGTGGAGAAAGGGAGGGAAAAAAAAGAAAAAACAAACAAAAAAAAACCCTCAAAAATCCAGGAATTCCATGGCAGCAGTTCCTAAAATCCCCCATGAGAGGCCAAACATGCCTATAAATACAATATATACAGACAAACCCCACAGCCACCCCGACCCCAAAAAATAACCAAACACACCCAAAAGTGCCTTTGTGGTTCATATCAAAAACCGTCACTATTATTATTATTTTATTATTATTATTATTTTCTTCTTCTTCATTTTTCTTTTTCTTCTTTATTATTTTCTGTCCTGTTTGGGGTGGAGAAAGGGAGGCACCCCCAGGGGTTAATCCTGAACCTAACACAGGATATCTGAAGGTGATGAAGAAGATAAAGGAGGATCAGCCATGTCTTCTGGCTGATAAAGGAGCCTGGGGTGACACCAGTCCTACCAGAGACACTTTGCTTGAATGTCAGGTTTGGTGGGACCAGCTCAGACACAACCCCAGTCTGTTCTCACCTCCCCAAAATCAGAGAGGTGATACAATCTGCCCTTGAACCCACTCAGAAGTATTCCTACAAAGAATATTTGTTATATATTTATATTTTATAACTTTTTCTTTCAAATAATATTATTTACAAGGACAATTCCATGCCTGGAGCACCTGGAGTCCCCATCTCTCAACCCCATTGCTTGGCACAGTTTGTGGGTGTTTTTGCTGCCATACAACACCAGCTCTGCAGGATAATTTGGGTCTTGAACTGGTTTGATGGGATCTCAATGGGGAATCTCGATTAAGAATCTCCCAAACTGTGGGACTCACAAATGATGAAGATATTTTGGTCTTGAAAAGATTGCTTGACCCTGTTGATTCTCAGAATGTCAGAATGATTTGGGTTGGAAGGGACCTGAAAAATCATCCATTTCCACCCTCCTGCCATGGGCAGGGACACCTTCCACTGTCCCAGGGTGCTCCAAGCCCTGTCCAGCCTGGCTTTGGGCACTTCCAGAGATCCAGGGGCAGCCACAGCTTTTCTGGGCACCCTGTGCCAGGGCCTCCACACCCTCAGATGGAAGAATTTCTTCCCCATATCCCATCTAAACCTGCCCTCTGGCAGTGGGAAGTCATTCCCCTTGGATGGAATGGTGCCCCTGTGGCTCAGCAAGACATCTGAGATCATTCTTGCTTCTCCCACAGAGGAACCCATAATTACTGAGGTTGGGAAAGACCTCAAGGTCATCGAGTCCAACCTGGGACCAATTCCCACCTTGACAAATAGAACAGAGCACATCCAGGTGTTCTTTGAACACTCACAGGGATGCGAATTCCATCACTTCCTGGTGCAATTYCAATGTTCAACAACCCTTTYCAMRGAGAAATTCCTCCTGATGKCCAACCTGAACCTGCCCCGGTGCAAAATGCCCACACATGACCCTAAATCTCTCTCTTTTTATCAGATTTAGATGCTGAGACAGCCTCACCCTGCACTGACAGAGGGTGGTGGTGCTCCTTTTGAGGTGTCCTCTGAAATCCCACAGCCACAAAAGCAGCACTGCCCAGCTGAACACCTTTTCCCTTTTCCTGCTGATTTTCTGAACCTCTTTTCCAAGCTTAACACAGTGCTGTGTTAGTATATCAAAAAGGGGCACAATTCCTTCAGAGGCCCCAAATCTCAAAACTCTTTTTCTTACTCTGCTACCCTCCCTTCTTCCCCAAATCAAGATAAAATACTCACACTCTGCAGGCACAGATCACCCTGTTACCACAACGCAGAGAAGAGACATCAATATTCAGGGGGAAATTTGGAGTTACAGTTTATTCTTTCATTTGCATTTTAATAGAAAAACTTTCCATTCAGTCCCAAGTGAAAAGCTACTATATGCATTTAAATGAAGATTATTTCTTTCCCCCCTCTCTTTAAGAATGATGACACAAGTGCTTGAAGCTCTCAGCTCCTCTGAACGAGCAGGTACATCACACAGTCACCTTATTGAGCTTTGGAGACCATTAATCCGTGTTTATAAAACCACCTGACACACGCCACGGCTCCCACTCTCACACACACAGAGCCACCTCTGTTTCCAGGCCCCTCTGGTTCAATCATTTTGAAAAACAGCAACAAGATTTCCATTTTTCCATTTTGCTCCTATTCAAAATGCAGCTCTTGGAGGAAGAGCAAAAYGTGAAAATCGGACTTACAGCTCCTTGGAAGGATCTGTTGTCAGAAATGGGCACTTCTTGCGTTTAAACCTGACTGGTTTTCACATGTTGCTCTGGCAGCTGGTTTTATACTTAGAATTGTGGRATTTTTGAGGTTGGAARAGACCACTGAGATCARCAAGAGTGAGTSTTAACCCAGCACTGCCAAGTTCACCACTAAAGCACAGCGCTGAGCACCTTCCAGGGACAATGATTCCACCACTTCCATGGGCAGCCTGTGCCAGTGMTTGAYAACTTTTCATCAARAAATTTTCCCARTTTCCCAATTTTTCCAATAYCTTGGGAAAATTTCCCAAGATATCCAACCTRMMMCTCCCCWGSCCMRSCYKRRGSCSWTYCCYYYYCYTCYKKYCCYKKTYCCYKGG